TACCTGGATTAGAAACCAAATTATACCATTTTTTTTCGATGGAAACGAATCTATTTTTATTTTTAGCAAATTTATTTTTAGCTTAGAATCTTACCAGAATTAATGAAATTGGCAGTAATAATAAATTGAAATAAATGTGAGAAGCATCAAATTCGTAAAAAACCAGAAAAAAATGGTTTTTGACTCGAAAACCTTGTTTTGGAAGTTTGGTTTCTATATAATAATATAGCAATGAGAGACGAATTATGAATTTATAAAATTAGCAAAAACCTAAAGCAGCTCATTAAGTGAAAACGATTTCCACTCTTGAAAAATAGCCACATTCGGCGAAATTTGAAGATCAATAGATTGTACTAAAAAGCAAAAATTATTTTGACTTCATTTATTTCAACATCAGTATCATGAGTAGGACCAAGATCAATGCGATTTTCCAGTGACAAGCTTGCTGCAGTTGATAAAGACGACGTTTGCCAGTTACTATGTAAGACCATCAACAAAAATTACTTCATAACATGAATATTAATTAGATAAATTTAAAATTTTGTCCAACTTCGTCCTACCTTTATTAGAATGATTTCAGGCTTGTAATACTGCGATGTTCCATTTTTACTGCTCCATAAATTGCCTTCCTAACATGGCAGTGGTACTCAAAAATCTTAATAATCGATGACCGATTTATTTTGCCGAATTATTTGTATATATATTATTTTTATGCTTTTTTTAAAATTTTTTAGCTGGATGAATAATGTTAAGTAAGATTAAATTTTAAAGTTGCTAATTCAGTTTAATATTAGACATTTGTTCGCATAATATCTTTCAGTTCTCTCCACTTGATGGATTGCAAATCACATCATTTGAGCAAAAATATTTGATACATCTTTATACTTTTTAAAAATTAATTGTATAGCTGTATTTTCGTCGATTTTCGTTGATTTTGTAAATTTTAAGGTTTTAAATTTAAAAAACTGTTTTTTGGATAAATGGATAAACAAGTAGTTTTTGAAAATTCGCCTATATTTCCGATTTCGAATAAATCACATTGTTTTGTCTCAAATTTTTTCAAGAAATTGTCTTGGCCATGACTATAAGAACAGAAAATTATCAGAAATGGTCAATAGATTTGAATATGTAGAAGAAATTTATAAACGAGTGACAACAGTGTTCACTGATTACCTATTGCCTTGTTTTTATAGTAAAATTTAGTTAAAAAATTTTATTTTTCACTTGAAGAAGGAAATTAAAAAAAAATAGGCGTAGGATTTCAACTTTATAATATATAGGTGAAAAAATTTATAAAATTGACATTTTATGATTTGCTGATAAATTTGATGGACCATAATTTTGATATAGTGATATACTTTACACTTTAGTGATATGTTATTCCTCAACTAAAATCAAACAACATTAGTTCGATGGAACCAGCCAAACCAAAAATATTAAGTGTTTTTATATAGATACATTATCAACTGCAGAAGAGATTTTAATTATAAAAGAAAACTTCTACAACATAGCCTGGATTCTCTGTCAGTACGTCGTATTAAACAAGGTTTCATTTATACTTATAAAATTCTGTATGGCTATGTTAAATTAGATTGTTCAAAATATTACAATTTTAGGCTAAATTTGAATCCATCAAGAACTAATGGGGCAAAAATACTAAAATACCTATAGGAAAAACTAAACTAAGGAGTTTTATTCATACTGTTAACTACTGGAATAAAATACTAGAATAAAATAATTACTGAACCATATAGCTTGTGCGTCATCCTTAGTTATCTTTAAAAAAAGATTAGATAATATCATTTATGATATTATTTAAAAAGTTCATATCACGCAGGAAGTGTGAAATCTCGATTTTAACCATCCGATCATAGTTATTTCGAATTGTACTATCTTATATTATTTTGTAATTTCTTCTTTATTTCATCTTTAAATTGTTAATTATATTTTATTTTGATTTTATTATTTTTTTTGTCATTAATTCTTATTATTTGTTATTTTAACTGTTGTTTTTAATACAAGCACAAGCACATCTTTCGTTTGCCAATTTTCCTGCTTGGCTGGTTTTCAGTAAATAAATAAATGATTTTTAAAGCATAAATGATTTTTTATCACAAAAGCCAATTGATGATATCTGTAAATTTATGAAGTGCTATTTAATCAGTCGAGTTATCCATTTATAAACTAATATTTTATTTTTACCTGTTCTTTGAACGATCATCTTCGAAATTGGCAAACAAAAGATTCAATAAGAATTTTTTAAGTATTTTTTATATATATATATTAAAAATAATTCACATATTTATTCTCCATGCACGCACAAAGCGAAATCAGGAAGGCAAAAGACAGTCAAAAAATATTCATCTGAGGGTAAGGAACTGGGTTCGATGCTCTGTGGATTTACGGAAGTAGATCTGTTTGTTACAATTTGATTATTATATCTGTGAATTATATTAATTGGATTTATCTAAAAATGTGGTTCTATACTGAATATCCAGACCTATATACGTCGATTCCTCTCATGATTCTATGGCGAAAGAAACTTGAATGGTCTTTGCTGGTCAAAGGAACCACTCAAATTAAGAACGAGTGCTATTACTAATATTAAACGAAGTGTAAAATTTTAGCTGAATTTTTAAAAAATCTTTTTGATTTTTATTTTATTTTTTTATTTTTCTTTACTTTTTCAACCCGCAAACTAGAAATAATTTTCGACGTTGAAAACTATGGTCGAAACCTAAAACTTATTATTTAAATAATTTTATCTATTTTCTTATTGTTGATTGATTTCAGTTTTGACAGTTTTAATGAACTCCACAAAAAAAAGAGGTTTTGTTGATCGTTTAAATAATTGGTAACGCACAGATTAGTTTATCCGCTCGGTCTTAAATTCCTAACCTTCAACTCTTTCCGGGATGTTTTGTAATTCAGGCGCAAGCATTATTGTAGGATTGCATTTTATTATTATTATTGAATCAATATGTATTGGCCTTGTGTTCAGTGAAACTTTCGACTCGTTTCTGCAATATGCAAAGTATAAGCCTGAAGATAGGTATGCATTTTTTTAAACCATAAGAAAAAATTTTTCTATTTCTATAAATGGTGTTCTTATGACCTATAAAAGGAACTTTAAGCTTCGGATTCGCAGCGAATTATTCAAGAAATTTTCATATCTTTATGTTATAATATTATTGCTAAATGGTATGTGCCTTCGATTAAGACCAAGGTACCAGAATGGTGCCACAGCATTTCCATCCCCGAGCGACTCTATGGCAAAATATCTCATACCAGTAGCCAGTCCAGCATCATATTAGCCAGTAGAGCCAAGCCAGAACTGGTAAATGCTGCTTATTTCGGGTAAAAATCGAGATTTTGTGCATTGAACTTTTGTACCAATGGAGTACATTAGATTTATAAAATATTTTTCAGGAATGCAACTGGAGTTATTTTTCTCACGTTCATTTTGATTGGCATAATTGGCCATCTGATCACAGTGCCTTTCTTATGCTATTCAGCACAAAACCATAATGGTCGATGTATTGTACCATATATATCATGGCGAATTTTGTTTTCTTTTTTGGTGATTGGGATTTTCATTTGGCAGGTAAGGCACATATAATAAATGATGGAATAAATGAATCACCAGAGACAGTATTCGTTCAATTTTCGTTTAATATTATGCAAAAATTAGCAAGAAAATTTTCAACTTTATTTTCTAGGGGTAGGATGGCTGAGTGGAATGTTGTTGTTATTTTGAAAGAGAGAAATCTCTCTTTCAAAAATCCATGTGCTTCTAGCGGTACATTGTATTTTCTACTTTACTTCGTTTCTCAAGTGATTCTCTCGCAAAATGTCTTGCCAGACAGTATAGCAAGCCTAATCCAGAAACAGTGAACGCTCTCGAAAAAAATTCCTTACCAATACAATGAGATGCATATATGAAGAAATTTCATCCATAATTTAATTCATTTAAGAGTTCAAAATCAAACAGTTCTCAATGAGACTCAGTGGTTAGCACTCACTAACCTACCTGCTAATACGGTTCTCCGCCGCCTGCTAATACAGTTAGAAATTTTTTTCTAGGAAATCAGCAGGCAATAGAATTGAAGATGTTTCGCCAGCATCACCCGGGTCTTTTAAATAGCAGTCTTAGCCGAACTTTTGCTTCTCAACATAATCTACCCGGCTATCCTCCCTCTTCAGAATTTAAATGATAATCCTACATATTCAACTTAGAAAAAAGAAGTTATTAGAAAAATTATTATTTCAAAAAAAAGGATGACGACCTATATGATTTTATTCATTTATTTATGAATTAACTATAGCAACTTCCGAAAAAAATGATATGGAAGCGTATGACGTAATAGCAGCCACTTTTGATTTATTAAAGCAGACCTGATCATTTGAAAAACAAAGCGATAACAGTTGTCATAAAAAATTTTTGGAGAACACCATTAACAAAAAAATGATTCGTCATTAAAACATGTCATTTAAATTTCAAGATTAAATTTTGGAAAATTTCCTATCATTATTGCCAATTAAAAATGGGGAAGCAGCGGCGGAAGCACATAAAAATTTTAATTTTCAGATCATTTGTTCAGAAGATAAATCTGAAAAAATTTCCAGCAATCTCAGTAAAAAATTACTGCCTCTAGCAATAGCTCAAATTCCTCTAGGAGGACTATTTTCTGGAATATCGGTGAAGGCCTATCGGTATTTTGTCCACGAAGCAAGAGTGGAAATTCAAAATTCTTTGCAAAATAAGCATTTAATCCACTACTGAAAATCGCTGAATATGGAAAGCCATAAAAAAATTAAGAATTCATTTCATTTTAGACAATCAATTCTGACCTAACTTATATTTGTAATTTGGATGCCTTTAAGTAATGCAGTGTAAATTTATCGAAACTGTTATGGCTTCATAAAAAAATGCTATTTTCAATAATTTATGCGAATAAAAAAATTTTTTGCAATTTTTCCGCTTTAATACATATTTAGTATTATCGTATATCTGCATATCGTATATTATCGTATATCAGTCTATTTTTCGATTCACTTTTGAAATATGAAAGATTAGCGCTGAAAAGTACTGAATGTGCCCATCCTGCATAATCTCCAAATTTATATTTCCACATACGTTCTGAAATGAAAATAAGTATTTCTAAAATCGATATTACCGAAATCGATATAAAATCGATAAAAAAATTAATTGTTCGCAATAAACTAATTATTTGCAATAAAAGTGAAAATCTATATCCATACCAATTTCTTTTCGATTTGCTTTATTTAAAGACTTTTTATTCATCAAATGAGGCAGATAAATGCTTGCAGTGATTTGTAAAACATGTGTATCTATTGGTACCGCTTCATACTTCTGCAACGCCATAAGGCATATGCAATCTGCAACCTAAAAGAAAATGGTCCAATATGCGACCGAGCATTATATAAAGCGAATTTATAAATTTACAGTATACAGTAAAGATTTCAATACATTTATTGAACAAAAACCTTTGGTCCAATGCCTGGCAGCAATTGAAGAGCCTTCTTGGCATCTGTGTAAGAAACTTTTTTCAAATCCTCTAACCAAGATTCTCCACCAAATTCCTGAATAACATAAAAAGGACATATATATATATACATATTTATACAGATTACTTACATTAAAAAATAAAAATAAAAAATAAGAATATATACTGCCATTAATTAAAATTTTTAAGATTTATAAAAACCAACACTTAATTTTTGAGCAGCAGACCTTATAAAAGTAGCTCTGTAACCAAATCCATTTTGTTTCAACGTCGATTCAACATTAGTATCAAATATTATTCGCTTGAGATCAGGAAAATTATAGAAAACATTGTGAGGTGAAGAAGAAACCATAATTTGTTCGCCATATAGCTCACACAATTTTGCAACCATTTCTAAAAATTTCTTAAAATAAGCAAAGAAATTAAAAATTCAAAACCAAAACATACATACTTGATATCCTGCGAATATTGTTGTTAGACGAACAAATGAATGAAAACATGGTTTCAAACGGATCTTGCGAGAGTACACGAATACCTTCATAGAACTGATTCGATGAAGAAATTAAATTTGCGAAATAAGGATCGGAATCAATCCATTTTTTATAAAGAGTTGATAAATTCACTGAAAGCTGAAAAAAAAACATCAGAAAATTTTAACAGTAAATATATATTTTAACGGTAAAATATTTCTTATAAAAATATGGTATGCACCACACATTCTAGTGCAAACATAAATATTTTTTTTAAGAGGGCAGACTGTTTATGGTTAGGCTCGCTCCGCTGGTTTCTCGGACCAGACAAATCTTGCAATAAAGCAATACCAGACAGCCAAGGTGAGTCGCCAGCATCACCTAGAATTTTGAAAAAGACTGGGAATTCTCTAGAACTCCAGTATCAGGCAGCAACCCACTGAGCGATCATAACACTGAGCAACCACATGAAGCGTGATGCATCGGCTGAGCCATTTTTGATAACATCCAACTAATCACTAAACAAAGGAGGCATCTTGATACAAATGCAAGATAATAATATTAATAAAAAATAAATCTTATTTGATGTTTAAAGATAAGCAGAAATAAATAGAAATGAGGATAGAAAATAAAAACGAAGTTTCAAAATTTTCACAGCAATATATTTATTTATTGATAACCAGCCAAGCAGGGCGACAATGCCATGTGCTTATATTAATAATAACAATTAAGATAACAGAAAAAGAAAACAAAAAAATAACATAAACAAAATTAATTATAAAACAATATGACAAAAATTAACAATTTAAAGAGGAAATTACAGATCAATATAATATAGTACAATTCGAAGTAACATATAAAACCTGAAGATAAAATCGAGATTTCTCACTTTTTGCAGTTCTTGTCTGGTGTAAACTCTTCTCTTTTTTTTTTTGTTTTTAAATAATATCGTAAATGATATTATCTAGTTTTTTTTTAAAGACAGCTAAGGATGACGCACAAGCTAAATTTGTTCCAGTAGTTAATAGTACGAATAAAGAAGTCATGAGTCCTTAGTTTAGTTTTGCATATAGGTTTTAAGCCATTAGTTGGATTCAAATTTAGTCTAAAGTTATAATATTTCGAGCAATCTAGTTTAACATAACCATACAGAATCTTAAATATGTAAATTAAATCTTGTTTAATTCTACGAACTGAGAGAGAATCCATATTATGTTGTAGAAGTGTTCTTTTATAATTAAAATTATAATTTTTATTAGGAGAGAAGCGTCGTAGAAAATATCTTTGGAGTCCTTCAATTATTTTACCAGTTTTGCGATGTCTAGGGAAGTAACATTTAGTTAATAGAGAACATTTAGTATTGTATTCAAGAAGAGGCCGAACGAATATAATTTGATAAGAAAACTTTCAGTTTTGTTCTTAAACGAACGAAAAATAAAACTTAGTGATTTCTCCTTGAGGATTTCTTTACTATGGTTCTGCAGTGAAGATCGAAATCGAGATTTTCATCCATGATATTCCAAGATCGGAGATGTGTGAGACTCTATTGATTAAATTACCATTTATAAAAAGGTTAGGAAGATCGAATCCTTTAGAGTTGATGTGAAGAACGCTACATTTTTGAAAGGAAAGGGTAATTTCCCTGTCATATAGCCAGTCAACTGTTGAGGTCCTCCAGCAGTGGAAATCCTTCTGTTAAGGTCCTCCTGCAGTGGAGATAGGTTATCCGTTCTACCATGAGAATAAAAAATTTTACAATCATCAGCATAAAGATAAATAGTAGAATTTATTACTACTGTGGTGATATCATTTATATATAATAGAAATAGGAATGGCGCAGTACAACTGCTTTGGGGTACGCCTGACTTAACAGGTGTCATGTCAGAAAGAGTGTTGTTAACATATACAGCCTGGTAACGACCTTTTATGTAATCTGAAACCCAATTATAAAGGTCCCCTGTTATGCTATAACTATTAAGAATGACCAATAATTTGCTATAGGAAACAGTATCAAAAGCCTTAGCCAAATCTAGGTACACAACTGATACTATTTTTCCATTGTCAATTGACGCTGACCAATTAGAGAGATTTACCAATATTTGTGAAGAAGTAGATTTTTTT